ACATCACCCAAAGAACACCAAAAACACATAGTGACTCACCCAAAAGAACCCCATAACCATAGATGAATCACCCAAAAGAACCCCATAAAACTTGTAAACCCCAAAAAACAGATCCCCATACTATAAAATCATAATTTCATACCTGATAATAGAAAACAAAGAAAAGACTCACCTTTTTAAAACACAACAACGTGTAAAAGTTTTAACAAAACATAAGATGACACTAGCAACACGACACCAACAGATAAAATCTAATGAGATCGCTATTAAAAACAAAAAATATAAGTAAACAAATCATTTTGCACCAAAAAGACCACGAAAGCGTTAACATCAAACAAAAATAAACCGTAAACACACAATAACAACTTATGACGTCTGGAGTTAACTTAACTAGAAAAAGAGGAAACAATCACCATTACATCAAGAACCCAAATAACAATCACCATTACGGAAAAAAAAACCCCCCATAAACGATCCCTTTTACAGGGAAAAACAAACACCCCAAAACGATCACCTTACGGGAAAAAAAAAACCACCCCGTAAACAGATCCAGTTATCCAACGGGACACCATTAGAATAAACTCCAGGGAGAAAATACACAGGGGATCTCCCCGTCGCCCCTTAGAAATTATTTCGTCGACACGCTTTTTCGGCCCCACGACCCAAACGCTTTTCGGAGGGGGGCCCCCCCTGGTTCTGAATCAGGGCTGGTTCCCTCCACAAAATTTCCGGGTGGTGTTTTACTTTCGGCTAGAAACTTCGAATCGTAAACGCGACCAAGGCTCTTCACCGTAAAACTGGTTGCCACCACCCGACCCTTATTGATTGACAGACTCCTCGACTTCTGCGGTTTGAACTGCGTACCGCTCTATTGGACCACCGCGTACAATCTTTCCAGGATCGTGCGGGCAGACTCCTCGCTGCCCGTTATAATAGTCGTGTCATCCATAAAGGCACGTAATGGTGGCAACCAGTGGTCCCCAATTTGAAGGCCCTGTCCGTAGCCGGCCGCCCCGTCTAACATGATCTGCATTGCCATGACAAACAGTATAGGTGAGATCTTACACCCCATAGCTATCCCAATCTGCAACTCAGTCCACCTCGTGGTAAACGTCGAGGTAGAGAAGCGCAAAGCGAACTTAGAGAAATATTGCTCGATCATTTGATTGATCTGTGCCGGTACGTGAAACATGCGAAGGGCTCGCCACAGTAGCCTATGGGGGACTGCCCCGTAGGCGTTGGCTAAGTCCAACCATATTACGTGCAATTGTGTTCTCTCATGCTTGGCTCTCTGGATAGCCTCCCAATTCATGGTCGCCTGTTCAAGGCACCCAGGAACGCCTGGAATACCACCCTTCTGAACACTCGTATCTATGTACTTGTTAGTCGTCAGATACTGTGTGAGCCGGCGAGCCATGACTGAGAAGAATATCTTACCCTCGACATTCAACATCGAGATGGGCCTGAATTGGGAAAGACTCTTTGAGTCCTGCTCTTTGGGAATGTAGACCCCATTTGCCTTTGACCACTCTGGACATATGTGATTACGGATCCACGCTTGTCTCAACAAGACGTGAAGCATTTTTAGGATTTTCGGGCAGCGCTAGTAAAAAACGTACGGGACACCGTTCGGACCTGGGGCAGACTTGCCGCTGGCTTTTTTCACAACTTCCTCAACATCAGACCAAAGGGTAGGTACCATTTTAAATGGTACCTTCGGCACCGAAGGCTGCTTGAGACCGCTAAGGATCTCTGGATTGTCATCGAGAGGCTCTTTCCTCTTTTTGTCAGAGTACATCTTGCGTAGATGTAGCTCAAGCTCTTCCTGACTGACAACCAGAGTCCCAGACTTCGGTTGCTCGAATAGATCTCGGGCAAACTGATACGGGTCCCTAAAGAATTTCTCTCGCTCCCTTTTGGTTCTATGTCTGTTGTTACAGAAACGCTCGGCGCGACAGAGGGCACTATTTATGTTCTTTAAATGCAACCAAACTTCGTACAGCCCCTCCCGTTCGCTACCTGTAGCGGCTTTGAACCGTTTTCTGAGGGCATTCTTGTCTGCCCGACACTTCAGAATGTCCCTCTGCCTCCTGCTAGTATTCTGCTTGGCACCCGGCTGTGCCTTTACTACTGTCCCGAACTCGCGGGAGCAGTGTTCATATATTACATCACCAAATTTTGTATACATAATATAATATTTCCACGAGAAACAATGAGACATACCCTACATAAAGAGAACATATTGAGACATACCCTACATAAAGAGAAAATACGGAGACATACCCTACATAAAGAGAACATATTGAGACATATCCTACATAAAGAGAACATATTGAGACATACCCTACATAAAGAGAACATATTGAGACATATCCTACATAAAGAGAAAATACGGAGACATACCCTACATAAAGAGAACATACTGAGACATACACTACATAAAGAGAACATACTGAGACATACACTACATGAAGAGAAAATACTGACACATACCCTACATAAAGATAACATACTGAGACATAACCTACATAAAGAGAACATATTGAGACATACCCTACATAAAGATAACATACTGAGACATACACTACATAAAGAGAACATACTGAGACATACCCTACATAAAGAGAACATACTGACACATACACTACATAAAGAGAACATACTGAGACATACCCTACATAATTATAACATACTGAGACATACACTACATAAAGAGAACATACTGAGACATACACTACATAAAGAGAACATACTGAGACATACCCTACATAAAGAGAACATATTGAGACATATCTTACACAAAGAGGACATACTGAGACATACCCTACACAAAGAGAACACACTGAGACATACACTACATAAAGAGAACATACTGAGACATACCCTACATAAAGAGAACATATTGAGACATATCTTACATAAAGAGGACATACTGAGACATACCCTACACAAAGAGAACACACTGAGACATACCCTACATAAAGAGAACATATTGAGACATACCCTACATAAAGAGAAAATACTGACACATACCCTACATAAAGATAACATACTGAGACATACCCTACATAAAGATAACATACTGAGACATATCCTACATAAAGATAACATACTGACACATACCCTACATAAAGATAACATACTGAGACATACCCTACATAAAGAGAAAATACGGAGACATACCCTACATAAAGAGAAAATACGGAGACATACCCTACATAAAGAGAACATACTGAGACATACACTACATGAAGAGAACACACTGAGACATAACCTACATAAAGATAACATACTGAGACATACCCTACATAAAGAGAACACACTGAGACATACCCTACATAAAGAGAACATACTGAGACATAACCTATATAAAGATAACACACTGAGACATAACCTACATAAAGAGAACACACTGAGACAAAACCTACATAAAGAGAACATACTGAGTCATAACCTACATAAAGAGAACACACTGAGACATAACATACATAAAGAGAACACACTGAGACAAAACCTACATAAAGAGAACACACTGAGACATAACCAACATAAAGAGAACACACTGAGACATAACCTACATAAAGAGAACACACTGAGACAAAACCTACATAAAGAGAACACACTGAGACATAACATTCATAAAGAGAACACACTGAGACATACCCTACATAAAGAGAACACACTGAGACATAACCTACATAAAGAGAACACACTGAGACATAACCAACATAAAGAGAACACACTGAGACATAACCTACATAAAGAGAACACACTGAGACAAAACCTACATAAAGAGAACATACTGAGACATAACCTACATAAAGAAAACATACTGAGACATACCCTACATAAAGAGAACATACTGAGACATAACCTACATAAAGAGAACACACTGAGACATAACCTACATAAAGGGAACACACTGAGACAAAACCTACATAAAGAGAACATACTGAGACATACCCTACATAAAGAGAACACACTGAGACATAACCTACATAAAGAGAACATACTGAGACAAAACCTACATAAAGAGAACATACTGAGACATAACCTACATAAAGAGAACATACTGAGACATACCCTACATAAAGAGAACATACTGAGACATAACCTACATAAAGAGAACACACTGAGACAAAACCTACATAAAGAGAACACACTGAGACATACCCTACATAAAGAGAACACACTGAGACATAACCTACAGAAAGAGAACACACTAAGACATACCCTACATAAAGAGAACACACTGGACTAATCGAATTTAAAGTAAGATAATCTACAACTGTTCAACACCACAGTACACTACTTTAGGTTCCATTTCTGAACGCTACTTTACTTCCTGTATCTCATATACGCACTGATGGTATAGAAATATGGTACCTGTCCGGTTTTTGAGAATGTTGGGGTGTTCTATTCACAAACTGCGTCAGTGGTCCCGGGTAGTTAGCGTCCTTTTGGTATTTTCTCTAAGTCATGCACGTGTTTTGGGAAACGAACAGTAAGATTGACTTGGTGAACTCGCCTAACTCTCCACCTGTGGTCACTGTGAGTCTGAACTGAACTGGGTTAACTCTCCACCTGTGGTCACTGCAAGTCTGAACTAAACTGGGTTAACTCTCCACCTGTGGTCACTGTAAGTCTGAACTGAACTAGGTTAACTCTCCACCTGTGGTCACTGTAAGTCTGAACTGAACTGGGTTAACTCTCCACCTGTGGTCACTGTGAGTCTGAACTGAACTGGGTTAACTCTCCACCTGTGGTCACTGGAAGTCTGAACTGAACTAGGTTAACTCTCCACCTGTGGTCACTGTGAGTCTGAACTGAACTGGGTTAACTCTCCACCTGTGGTCACTGTGAGTCTGAACTAAACTGGGTTAACTCTCCACCTGTGTTCACTGTGAGTCTGAACTAAACTGGGTTAACTCTCCACCTGTGTTCAAATGTTATGTTTGTGTTTCAGTCATTGACCAACATGCTGAGCTCTTCATGTCCAACACTCAACGCGCCAGTGACGAGTTTAGCTGTGAAGTTTTTAAACGATGAAGGTAAGTCGGAGGAGTCGGGGGAGTGGGGGGGGGGGGGGGGGGCGTCTGTTTGGTTGAGGTTTAGTACGGTCTTGTCAGGAGCGTCTGTTTGGTTGGGGTACAGTACAGTCTTGTCAGGAGCGTCTGTTTGGTTGGGGTACAGTACAGTTTTGTCAGGAGCGTCTGTTTGGTTGGGGTACAGTACAGTCTTGTCAGGAGCGTCTGTTTGGTTGGGGTACAGTACAGTTTTGTCAGGAGCGTCTGTTTGGTTGGGGTACAGTACAGTCTTGTCAGGAGCGTCTGTTTGGTTGGGGGTACAGTACAGTTTTGTCAGGAGCGTCTGTTTGGTTGGGGGTACAGTACAGTTTTGTCAAGAGCGTCTGTTTGGTTGGGGTACAGTACAGTTTTGTCAGGAGCGTCTGTTTGGTTGGGGGTACAGTACAGTTTTGTCAGGAGCGTCTGTTTGGTTGGGGGTACAGTACAGTCTCGTCAGGAGCGTCTGTTTGGTTGGACTACAGTACAGCTGGTTGGGGTACAGTACAGCTGGTTGGGGTACAGTACAGCTGGTTTGGGTACAGCACAGCTGGTTTGGGTACAGTACAGCTGGTTGGGGTACAGTACAGCTGGTTGGGGTACAGTACAGTCTTGTTAGGTCAGGGGCGTCTGTTTTTTTTAGGTGCAGTAAGCCGTGTCAGGAGCGTCTGTTTGGTTGGGGTACAGTACAGTCTTGTCAGGAGCGTCTGTTTGGCTGGGGTACAGTACAGCTGGTTAGGGTACAGTACAGCTGGTTGGGGAATAGTACAGTCTTGTCAGGGGCGTCTGTTTGGTTGGGGTACAGTAAGTCTTGTCAGGGGCGTCTGTTAGGCTGGGGTACAGTACAGCTGGTTGGGGTACAGTACAGCTGGTTGGGGTACAGTAAGTCTTGTCAGGAGCGTCTGTTAGGCTGGGGTACAGTACAGCTGGTTGGGGTACAGTACAGCTGGTTGGGGTACAGTACAGTCTTGTCAGGAGCGTCTGTTTGGTTGGGGTACAGTACAGTCTTGTCAGGAGCGTCTGTTAGGCTGGGGTACAGTACAGCTGGTTGGGGTACAGTACAGCTGGTTGGGGTATAGTACAGTCTTGTCAGGGGCGTCTGTTTGTTTGGGGTATAGTACAGTCTTGTCAGGGTCATCTGTTTGGTTGGGGTACAGTACAGTCTTGTCGGGAGCGTCTGTTTGGCTGGGGTACAGTTGGGGTACAGTACAGCTGGTTGGGGTACAGTACAGCTGGTTGGGGTAAAGTACAGTCTTGTCAGGGGCGTCTGTTTGTTTTGGGTATAGTACAGTCTTGTCAGGGGCGTCTGTCTGGTTGGGGTACAGTACAGTCTTGTTAGGAGAAAGCGGAGCCTGCAAACTTAAGAACATTGATGCCCCTTCTCCAGCTCAACCCGACCCCAAAAATTTGTAAGAGTGAGCTGAGCCTATCCCACCCCCCCCCCCCCGCCCCCGAACTTTGCTTTGGGGCTAAGTAAAATAATTTCTCTGTTGAAGTCTTTGTTTATACATTTTCTGTTATCATAAATATACTATTTCCGTGCGATTCAGCACAAAATGATATTGATAATAATTGTTATTACTGTGCCCTGAAACAAGACCCAGCCCTTTCAGCGCTCCCGGTCCCAGAACATGTATGAGCCCATGTCCCCGTGTTTGTATCTCTGTGGGCGCCACTGAGTCCTATTGTAAATTGTATAACAACTCGATTAACTAACAGTAATTTACAGTTGGCAATACCCACGTCTAAGTGAACGCCTCTCCACATTATTGCTTCGATATGGTGCCATCAAAAGGCACATTAGGTACCTCTCACTGCACCAGGTGAAAAGCTCAACAGCAATCCTGGCAAAACTTACAACATGCACAGGCATTAAATGTATACAGGGGCCGCCAGAGGGCCAAAACCAACAGTCTGCCACTAGAACTGCAGTTGTTAATCGATGGAAGCAGCAGTGACGACAGATCAGCAGATCTTGGACAAGTTAATCTTCTGCTTCTTCTTTCGTTCGCTTGAAATAGATTATCTATATCTGCAATGTTGTCTATGAACTTCACTGTCTGTTGTAATTCACTCAGCGAAACGTAAAGTTTGGCTTGTGCAGGTGTTTCTCTTGGCCAGAAGTTTTGGTTTTGTATTGGGGACAGTCTTAGAGGATGTGATTTGTTGTCTCAGGTGCCAGTCCACATGTGCACATGGCTGATTCGCCAGTCTTAAATTTTGTGTACATGTGGCTGCGAAGTCGATTGTGTCCTGTTCTAAGGCGTAGAATAATCACTTGCTGTGGTCTGTTTATCATATGCTAATCGTGTTTTGCTGGGTTATGCGGCTTTCTGATTGATCAATGGTTTGACTGCAGAGTCGTTGGGCTTGCCAGAAGAAACTGCTTCTTTTAAGTAGCCCCATTGCTTGATTTTTGAATCTTTTTTTCACAGGCCGGTCAGACAAGCTGAGAAACGTTTCTGCTTGTATTAGTACATTGATGTTTCTGCAGTCTGTCATCGCCATCTTCTCTATCACAGCTTTATGTGTTGATTTCTTCCTTCCTATTATAACTCTGAGCTCTTCATTTTGATCCATGTCTAACTTTTTTTAGTGTAGTTTTTTGCTGCTGAACTCCATGCAGTTGACCCGTGTTCAACGTGTGATCGTAAAATGTGTAGGTAAACTTTCCTAAGTATTTCCCCGCTGGTTCCCCGTGCTGTTCCACTCAGTTTTCATTTGTAAAATATCTGAACTGTGCAGGACATCCGAAATCAATGGAGAATCTGGCTGAAGATCATTTGACATCACAACCAGACTTGAAGACCAGTGAGCAGAGCGGTCAAGATGACGTGGACGGTGCAACAAGGTAGTGAGTTTTGTTACTGCTCCCCAAATGTTGACATTTACATCTCATTAGTTTAGTAATTCTTATAGGATAGAAATATCTATCTTTGCTCTATAAGATAGAAAATGATATCATTGCTGTAAAGGATAGAAAATGCTATCTTGGCTATAAACGATAGAAAACATTAAAAATTCTGGTTTACGCATGCGTAGTGAGGTTTCTCTACATAATTCCGTACACCCAGATGTTAATGTAAGGAAGTGAAAGTACAAATATCTATGTGTATGACAGTGCATGTTTTTTTTCCTACATTTTCCTCGTCCTTCACTTCTTCTTTCACGCCTTAGTTTTCGAGAAAGCTAAAAATTTCTAGATCTGCATTTTTTAGCTGCTTCTGTTATAGACACGTGATGCTACTGTCGAGTTTCCAGAAGTCATCTTTCCAGCCTGGTTGTAAAATGATTCCAGATTGTTGTGATAAGTTTTCTTTGTTGTCTGTTGTACACAGTGCCAGGACTGGGATGTTCAAGGACGAGTACGTTGATGAAGACAGTCGGTCCCGGGACAGGACTGAGACTGTCGACAGCAGCGAGGAATTCCTGCAGACGTCAGAGGACAGCAGTCAGGATTCTGAGGCCAGTGATGACTGCAGACACAGCTGGACTAGCGATGAGCTGGGCTTAGTAAGCGTGCTGAAGTTTTATCCTGAGAATAAGGGCCTGTATGATATCACACACACGCCCACATTATTATCACCATCACTATCTTTATCATCACCACCTTTATCATAATGAAATCCCTTGTCCTATTTAGGGGCTGTCTTGTTCCTCAACATCTTGCAGTCACAAATGTACATATCAGTTCTGGTGCTGCCTATTTTCCCGGCCAATAGGATCTCAGAGATATTCTCTCTCTAGTTTCCTCTGTTTTTCTTTCGGTACATCCTCCCAGTTGTCGCAAACATGTTACAATTTTTTCTCTTGTCACAAATCACTAAAAATGGTGGGTTATTTTTGTTATGGCTGTCAGTTTTTTTTTTTTACGCTAGTAGAAGGGAATCTTCATGGAGCATACCAGTCTCCACCTTTCTCAACATGCTCTGCGAGCTCTCTCCCGAAAACATGTAAAACATATACTAGCACTCCTGACAAGTTAAGGCTGGCTGGATCCCATGAGCGAATGGCTGGCTGGATCCCATGAGCGAATGGCTGGCTGGATCCCATGAGCGAATGCTGGCCATGAGTGAATGGCTTGGATCCCAAGCTGGCTGGATCCCATGAGCGAATGGCTGGATCCCATGAGCGAATGGCTGGATCCCATGAGCGAATGGCTGGATCCCATGAGCGAATGGGCTGGATCCCATGAGCGAATGGCTGGATCCCATGAAATGCGAATGAGCGAATGGCTGGCTGGATCCCATGAGCGAATGGCTGGCTGGATCCCATGAGCGAATGGCTGGATCCCATGAGCGAATGGCTGGATCCCATGAGCGAATGGCTGGCTGGATCCCATGAGCGAATGGCTGGATCCCATGAGCGAATGGCTGGCTGGATCCCATGAGCGAATGGCTGGATCCCATGAGCGAATGGCTGGATCCCATCCCGAATGGCTGGCTGGATCCCATGAGCGAATGGGCTGGATCCCATGAGCCCATGGCTGCCCATGAGCGAATGGCTGGATCCCATGAGCGAATGGCTGGATCCATGAGCGAATGGCTGGCTGGATCCCATGAGCGAATGGCTGGCTGGATCCCATGAGCGAATGGCTGGATCCCATGAGCGAATGGCTGGCTGGATCCCATGAGCGAATGGCTGGATCCCATGAGCGAATGGCTGGATCCCATGAGCGAATGGCTGGATCCCATGAGCGAATGGCTGGTTGGATCCCCATGAGCGAATGGCTGGCTGGATCCCATGAGCGAATGGCTGGATCCCATGAGCGAATGGCTGGATCCCATGAGCGAATGGCTGGATCCCATGAGCGAATGGGATCTGGCTGGATCCCATGAGCGAATGGCTGGATAGGATGGCTGAGAATCCCATGAGCGAATGGCTGGATCCCATGAGCGAATGGCTGGATCCCATGAGCGAATGGCTGGATCCCATGAGCGAATGGCTGGATCCCATGAGCGAATGGCTGGATCCCATGAGCGAATGGCTGGATCCCATGAGCGATGGCCATGAGCGAATGGCTGGATCCCATGAGCGAATGGCTGGATCCCATGAGCGAATGGCTGGATCCCATGAGCGAATGGCTGGATCCCATGAGCGAATGGCTGGATCCCATGAGCGAATGGCTGGATCCCATGAGCGAATGAGCGAATGGCTGGATCCCATGAGCGAATGGATCCATGAGCTGGATCCCATGAGCGAATGGCTGGCCATGAGCGATCCCATGAGCGATCCCATGAGCGAATGGCTGGATCCCATGAGCGAAAGGCTGGATCCCATGAGCGAAACCCTGGATCCCATGAGCGAATGGCTGGATCCCATGAGCGAATGGCTGGATCCCATGAGCGAATGGCTGGCTGGATCCCATGAGCGAATGGCTGGATCCCATGAGCTGGATCCCATGAGCGAATGGCTGGATCCCATGAGCGAATGGCTGGATCCCATGAGCGAATGGCTGGATCCCATGAGCGAATGGCTGGCTGGATCCCATGAGCGAATGGCTGGATCCCATGAGCGAATGGCTGGCTGATCCCATGAGCGAATGGCTGGCTGGATCCCATGAGCGGAATGGCGAATGGCTGGATCCCATGAGTGAATGGCTGGCTGGATCCCATGAGCGAATGGCTGGATCCCATGAGCGAATGGCTGGATCCCATGAGCGAATGGCTGGCTGGATCCCATGAGCGAATGGCTGGCTGGATCCCATGAGCGAATGGCTGCTGATCCCATGAGCGAATGGCTGGATCCCATGAGCGAATGGCTGGATCCCATGAGCGAATGGCTGGATCCCATGAGCGAATGGCTGGATCCCATGAGCGAATGGCTGGATCCCATGAGCGAATGGCTGGATCCCATGAGCGAATGGCTGGATCCCATGAGCGAATGGCTGGATCCCATGAGCGAATGGCTGGATCCCATGAGCGAATGGCTGGATCCCATGAGCGAATGGCTGGCTGGATCCCATGAGCGAATGGCTGGCTGGATCCCATGAGCGAATGGCTGGATCCCATGAGCGAATGGCTGGATCCCATGAGCGAATGGCTGGATCCCATGAGCGAATGGCTGGATCCCATGAGCGAATGGCTGGCTGGATCCCATGAGCGAATGGCTGGATCCCATGAGCGAATGGCTGGCTGGATCCCATGAGCGAAAGGCTGGATCCCATGAGCGAAACCCTGGATCCCATGAGCGAATGGCTGACTGGATCCCATGAGCGAATGGCTGGATCCCATGAGCGAATGGCTGGATCCCATGAGCGAATGGCTGGATCCCATGAGCGAATGGCTGGATCCCATGAGCGAATGGCTGGCTGGATCCCATGAGCGAATGGCTGGATCCCATGAGCGAATGGCTGGATCCCATGAGCGAATGGCTGGATCCCATGAGCGAATGGCTGGATCCCATGAGCGAATGGCTGGATCCCATGAGCGAATGGCTGGATCCCATGAGCGAATGGCTGGCTGGATCCCATGAGCGAATGGCTGGATCCCATGAGCGAATGGCTGGATCCCATGAGCGAATGGCTGGCTGGATCCCATGAGCGAATGGCTGGATCCCATGAGCGAATGGCTGGATCCCATGAGCGAATGGCTGGATCCCATGAGCGAATGGCTGGATCCCATGAGCGAATGAGCGAAATGGCTGGCTGATCCCATGAGCGAATGGCTGGATCCCATGAGGCGAATGAGCGAATGGCTGGATCCCATGAGCGAATGGCTGGATCCCATGAGCGAATGGCTGGATCCCATGAGCATGGCTGCGAATGGCGAATGGCTGGATCCCATGAGCGAATGGCTGGATCCCATGAGCGAATGGCTGGATCCCATGAGCGAATGGCTGGATCCCATGAGCGAATGGCTGGATCCCATGAGCGAATGGCTGGATCCCATGAGTGAATGGCTGGATCCCATGAGCGAATGGCTGGATCCCATGAGCGAATGGCTGGCTGGATCCCATGAGCGAATGGCTGGATCCCATGAGCGAATGGCTGGATCCCATGAGCGAATGGCTGGATCCCATGAGCGAATGGCTGGCTGCATCCCATGAGCGAATGGCTGGCTGCATCCCATGAGCGAATGGCTGGATCCCATGAGCGAATGGCTGGATCCCATGAGCGAATGGCTGGAATGGCTGGCTGGATCCCATGAGCGAATGGCTGGATCCCATGAGCGAATGGCTGGATCCCATGAGCGAATGGCTGGATCCCATGAGCGAATGGCTGGATCCCATGAGCGAATGGCTGGATCCCATGAGCGAATGGCTGGATCCCATGAGCGAATGGCTGGATCCCATGAGCGAATGCTGGGAGCGAATGGCTGGCTGGATCCCATGAGCGAATGGCTGGATCCCATGAGCGAATGGCTGGATCCCATGAGCGAATGGCTGGATCCCATGAGACAAAAAGATTACTACACATGACTTGATTTTGAATTTAGATTATAACCCCCTAAAAAGCAGAAGGTCAAAAAAGGTTCTTTGTGTCTTAGTTTCTCCCCCCTTCATTCCTCTTTCCAGTCTCTCTCTAATGTATGCATCCCCTACTGCATACTCTTCTTAACTTACTCCTCCTCCTCCTCGTTATGATTGTTCAGCTCATCAATCAGTCAGTCAATCAGTCAGTAAGCAGTCAATCAGTCAACCAGCCAACCAGTCATTCAACATGTCCTTTACATAACTCGCTTGCCGGACCCTGAGTGTCTCCTTTCTCTAGCCCTTGTGGTTTATATCAACCATCTCTTCCGTCTTTTTTAAAAAGACTAAGGCCTGAACCCAAAAAACTTATGGAAATTTGGTTTACAATTATGGTCTCCTATGGAGGGGACGGGGGCGACAAAGCATGTTTTTGTGTAAAAGGAGGGGGGGGAATTTGGTTTGGGGGGGGGGGGGGGGGGTTTTGGGGGGGGGGGG